GGGGGTCAAACGTGGCCGTCTTTAAAATCAAGTACTGTGTTATGAGGTTAGAAGAGAGCTCAGTGCATTCTACCCAGATACCCCAAAGCAGAGCAGGCATTTGGAAGAGGCCAGAACAGTCCCTTCAGCTGCACAGCATGGCACTTCCTACCTCCCCCTCCTAAAATTGCCTCTTTCAGAATTAAGAGGCAAATGCTCCTTGTTACTTTTGTCCCACCTGCATGGTTCAGAGGTAAAGATGATGCCATCAAATCTTCCCTGACACATACCCTGACCACCACAAGTAATGGTCAAATAAATGAACCATAAAGCCCACATCTTAGAACAGCCCTGAGTATCAAGGGGGAGTTTGACTGTCAAGCAAGCGAAGATTGAGAAGAGCCCAGTGAAACAAAGAACGACTCCCAAAGCAAAGGACTGCTGCCCAGCATTCCCAATGTCCCTGACTCGCTGCTCACATTAGCTAACAGCAATTCAGCCAGGTAATACAACACATACCAGATTCTGAGCTCAGCTGTATCACTGGACATTCAGAGACTGTAGACTGACTCTGGATCCACCCCACTGTAACAGAGCAGAGAGGTGCACGCAATTACACTGCATTCAACTAAGTTCTTTGGGGAAGTGACAAACTTGCACCTCTTGCCAATATCTAAGACTGCGAAGCTGCAACGGGGGAGCACGACAGAACAAGAAAACCTCTGTTTCATTAGATCTGGGTCTGGGAAATAGTCCCCAGGTCTCAATTTCTAGCTGTGGTCTTAAAAAGGTGGTACATGCAGAAGATGGAGGACAAACATTAGAATAAGCAGCTGTGGGGTGGAAAGAAATGTTACAAAGAACCATTGGCAGAAAAATCAACCAAATGTCTTTATTTTAAAACTATACACCTTGCAAAAACCAAATAGAAAAATCTCCCCAATTAAAAAAAAAAATTTAATATTATATTACATTCCAAATGACACCCGTAGCCATTGGGTTCAGATCATTTACACACAAAATACCTCAGGTCTGCATTGTGACAGGAAGACCATCCGTATCTCTGGTTAGTGCATAGGTGTTCTCTTATTCAAGTGATGCAAGTGTTTGTGAAGGATACTGACTTGACAGCCCTGGAGATCATCCTCCAAGTACAGAAAATAGTAAAAGCTGTGGAAGTGGAAGCCACCCTTCCCTAACCTACTGATGTGGCTTAACCCTGGCTAGAAGGACTGCTCATAACAGGAAAAGGGGATTTCACTCTTCACAGTTCATTCAATTCTTGGCCTCAAGAGCCTGCTAACAAGACACCAACAGATAACTTTTTAAGCTGGGTCAAGACTCCAAATATACATCCTATCTTGTAGGTCATGTTGTGCACTAAGACCAAATCCAATTTATGATTAAATACTGGTTCAATTTCCTGCAAGTTTACAAAGCCCAGACATACAAACAGGAGGGGGCGGGTGTGGTTTGGAACAGGACCACTACCTAGTAGGCAAGAGGATCTCAAGAGTCTGGATCACGTTTACGTAGTTCGTCATGCTGTAGTCTAAGGACATCAAGAAAGAAATATTTATTTTCTTCTTCCTTGATCTGGGTTGGAGGCAGTCTGGTCTGAAAAGCCTCTCTGGCCTCAGTGACGAGCACTCAGTTCTCATCTGTTGTTCAAAAACACCCCTCTTGCCTCTGCCAGAAGAACTTGCTTGGTTCATCTGCTCATTATCTCCCACACCAGAATCTCATTGTAGGAAGCTGTGAAAAGGCGTTTGCCTGAAGGGGTGAATCTGCAGAGGTGAACAGAGTCATTGTGCCCTGCAAAGTCTTGTTCTGTTCTGGTTGTGCAGTCAATCAGCCGCAGCAGGCGCTCTGTGGAGGAAACAGAGTCCATCAAGGGACACAAATAACACCCCCCACCCCGGTCATACAGAAAAGATGTTATTTCTGGGATACCTAAGCTTCCTGCACAAGGCTGCCAGTCCTAAGTGTGAAGCACAATGAGCTCTGGTGAATGGACTAGCAGCAACAGAAACCATAGGTCTCCATCCACAGAAACAGTGCAAGCTCCCCTCCAGTGGTTTCTTGCCCCCATTTGTGGGTCCTCAGGGCTGAATAACTTTCCCAGTCCCCAGTTACATGCCTGAACAAACAGATGGGTGTCTCTGATTCCCTAGCTGAGCACTAGAAAGAGCAATACTGGAGGACCTGTAGTAATTAAGTACTGAAATGGGTTTCTCTGGGTATGAAGCACTTCTGGATAAAGCAAGAGTTCTTGTCCTTCTATGCTTTGCTGTTTAGCTCCGTTTACTGATAATTACCACCCTTCTTGGAGTTTGTAGGGAAACCTTCCCACACAGGCACACTGAAACTGCTTCTTGATTAGCTGAGCGATGGGGAATAGTTTCTAACAGAAGCAAGCAGGCAATTAGTGGCTGATAATCAGTGGGAATGGCAGCCCCATGCTGTGTCAGACTGTCATTCTATGGCATATGAGCTGTATTGCAGGCTTTTAGGGATGCTGCAACAGTTTGAGGTTTCCTGGCACAGTGACAGGCAAGGACACAAGCTAATGGAGAGAGCTCAGAGAGGATAACAGATGCATTTAGTTTAAAGTCAGAATCCTTCAAATCCTTGCAGACCTCCTTGTACTCTCATCATTCAATTTGTAATTGAAAGGGGCTGTGATCCACAGACCACATACTTTGACCTTGCAGGCCCATCAGTGGACCATGGCCTATCTTGAAAACCATGCACTAGAGTCCCTCTTATAAAAGATGCCCCCGTTGAGGCTTAAATGGAGAACTCATCACAACCCTGAGGTAATCTGCTCCACTGTTTAAATCACCCTCACTCATAAATACTTACATCTTGTTGCAATGATGAATTTGCCTAGCTTCAGCTGCCAACCTCCAGTGCCCTTTTATGCAGGAGTAGTATACACCCTGCTTAGAGGAGGATGGAACTCCCTGGACCTCAAGAGCAGCAGCATAAGGGAAGTGTTTTGACAACTAGCGAAGGGAAATAAGGTTGTTCACATAGAGACAGGGAAGGGGAGACCTCTCCAGAATCAAATGCAAGCTGTTGTTTTTGATGCAGCTACTACCCTGGCAGCTGTATGGAGGAGAAAAGGGGGTCTCTGGGTGGTGCTGTTTTACCTAAGCTTGCTCCCTCTGGACACTTACCATTGAAGCCAACAGTCAGCAAGCGGCCTGCAGGGGAAAGGCTCAGTGAAGTGGCAAAGTGTGATAAGGGGATCTTCTCAACGACCTGCATTCAAGCAAGAGAAACACTGATACCAGCCTCTTCAAAATTAACGTGCAGCAGAACAGGCTAACAGGCCCCTCTCAAGAAGACAGCTAACAAACTGTCACCGGCACTGACAGATGCATAGCATTCACTGAGCTCAGGAAGCTGCCAAGCTCTTCATATTTCCAGAAGGGTATTCAGAGCTGAGAGAACCTCAGCATTCATGAAAGCAAAAAGAAACAAACCAGCAGTGACAGCAACCAGGTGTGGATGCAGCTCAGTCCTGAGCTACAGCTCCCCCTGCTGTTCACTACTGGCCTGGAACACAAAAGCTAGCACATTAAGTAGTTGTCTGGCCAATTCTACTACCCCTCAACTCCCCTGTTTCATTCCACCTCAGCTGCCGGTTCACCTGCCTGCCTTGTGCATGTCCCATCACATGAACCAAGGCTGGAGTCTGTGACCTGAGTGAATTTCATATGGCTCCCCCAATACGAGCACAGAAGAGTTCCTGCTCTAGCAGACAAACTCGGCTCATTAGCTTGCCCCACTGAGGATGCAGAAAGAAAACAATAGGTACCTGTTTCTGGCACAGACTGTAAAAGAGGACCTCCTTCTGCAGCCCAAAGCCCACGTAGACCACAGTCCCCTTGTCCCAAGGGCAGAATGCTGCTAGGCTAGGAGGAAGGCTGCCAGGAGCCTAGGAGAGGAAATAAGAGCAGAGTTAGAAAGTTAACTTATCAGCAGTTACTTCAGCAAGGCCAGAAACATGGGGAAAGGGAAAGGAGAGCACTTAGAGCCATCAGTCTCTCCTTCCTTGGGCTGCTGACAGAGCACATGGGCCACTGCACCATGGAATTTATATGACAGAAGTATGTTCTCAGGTTCTTATGCCACACTCCTGTACCTATACTCACTGATAGCACCCAAATGTTACATTGCCCCAAGAACATATCACAATGCTCTTTGCTGTAGATTGTGGTGGAATGCAAGGAAGATCCAATGAACTAAACCTCACCTACACATCATCTACACTTTCAGGCTGAAGTGTGGGAGTGGTTGAGGATACAGAAGAGCCTGCTAATTTCTCAGGAAGTGAAAATATTTTCTAAAGTTCCAAGACCTCAGTTCTGGGTGTCAATCCAGGTGAACACAATGGCAAGCTAATTTCCTGCACAGTGAGTGGGATTTCCTTAATTATTTTTAAAAAACATTTGACGATGAGAAAAAAAAACTTGGAAAGGTACCTCTAGGCTTGGAGAGGTGCTTAAGCTCAAAGGATGACAGCTCCCTAAGCAATCACTTCACATCACAAGACACTAAATTACCTTTTACAGACTGCCACCTACAATTGGAACAGCCTCCGTGTGCTGTGCACTAATGATATTTCCTGCCTTCTCTTTCCCTAACCCCATTTCTTTCCCAAAGCTTTCTTCCAGCAGCCTCCTCACCAAGATCTCTACACCTGATGTCTGAATGATTGTCCTAGATCTTGCATCTAATTTGGAGCATAAGCTCTAAGCAGAGCCCTGCCTTAGAGCTCTCTGAAGTGCCTTGCACACT